CAAGGGAACTCGGATTCATTGAAAACAACGTTTCTACTTACCACAACCTCTAAACCTACCTGGTTTCTATCCCAAACCCTGTACCCCTTCACACCCTCAGGATAACCTAAGAAGACTCCTTTCTTAGACCTAGGATCCAATTTGTCACCTTGTTGGTGCACATACGCAGCACACCCAAACACTCTAAGATTAGACAAATCAAGGGGCTTGTTTGAGAAAACAGATTCAGGGCACTTCCCACCGAAGGGAACAGAGGGAGACCGGTTAATCAAGTAGACAACAGTATTGACTGCTTCACCCCAAAACGTTTTGGGAAAACTGTCAAATAGGTCCTCGAACTTTCATAAAAAAGTCAATTAAGTCCTTCTATAGGAGGTTCTGTTCGGCCGTCGCGATTTGGGGCAGTTCCCGGTGGAATTTTTTGATGAAAGTTTTTGAGCATCTCATTCACCAAGTCTAGTTTACTCATACCAAATTTCAGCTAAAAATTCAATCGGGAACACATTCAAATTAATTCTTGAAGATTACTGCACATTTTTGCGTTCTCAAATTAATTTGAATGCGCTCCCGGTTAAATTTTTAGTTGAAATTTGGTATGAGTAAACTAGACTTGATGAATAAGATGCTCAAAAAATTTCATCAAAAAATTCCACCGGGAACCTCCCCAAATCGCGACGACCGGACAGAGTCTCCTATAAAAGGACTTACTTGACTTTTTTATGAAAGTTCGAGGACCTATTTGACAGTTTTCCCAAACTTTTTAGACAAACCGGAGGTAGCAAGCATACTCCTAACCTTATCTAGAAGAGTCCTATTCATTCTCTCGGCTATCCCATTTTGTTTGGGAGTATAGGGCACAATTTTGTGCCTTCTAATCCCACAATCCACACAGAGTTGGTCGATATCCTTATTGCAAAACTCTAATCCATTATCGGTTCTAAGGGTTTTGACCTTCTTACTAGTTAGATTTTCTACAAGGTTCTTCCACTCCCTAAACTTCACAAAGACATCGGACTTATGCTCAAGGAGACGGACCCACACCTTCCTAAAAAAATCATCGATAATGGACAGAAAATATCTCGTACCCCCGTGGGTAGAGACACTAGCAGGACCCCAAACATCAGCATGAACATACTCTAACACACAAGATTCACAAAAAGGGATGGAGGACACAGAATCCTTACCAAAACAACCAGATTTATGCAAAATCTCTAAACCCTTATTACTCATGTGTCCTAAATCCTAATCTATTATGCCACAAAGCAGTTTTATCAGAACTAACAACATGAGCAGAACATACAAATTATTCACCTTTTTTGCCTTAAACAAAACAAGGGAATTTTTCAAAACTTTCATGCACCCATTTCCCCATTTCCCCTCAAGCCCACTACCCTTAAAAGCAGCGACATAAAACAAGTAATGACGCAAATCAGGAACATGCCTCACATTTTTCATAGTAAACACAGTCCCATTATCAAACTTCAAGCATACATCATCCACCCCATGTATTTTGCATTTCTTATTATCAGCAAGAGACACAAAACCATCATTGCAAGAATCATAAGAAGCAAACAGAGATCTAAAAGGTGTCATATGATAAGTACAACCAGAGTCAATCAACCACTCATTTTCAGTCATGCTACTCAACACAGAATTGGCAAAATCACAGACCATAAAAACGTCATCATGCAAGTTATTATCATCTACCACATTAGCATGTTCAGACTTCTTAGGGTGAGGACAATCCTTAATAAAGTGGCTAGAATTCCCGCAATTATAGCACACTCTCTTCTTAGACTTACCTCTCTTCTTACTTGGGTCATTATTTTTGGTTTGGTTCTTAGTGTTGCTACCCTTCTTATGGTTTCGAGATCTACTCTTAGACCTACCCCTCACAAGCAACGCTTCACCAGAGTCCCTAGATTGACTGTTACTACCCCTTGAGTGCCTAAGGTCTAACTCCTTACTTCTTAATCCATTAACGACTATATCTAACGAGATATCATCTCTACCATACTTTATGGCAGATTTGACGTCATTGTAAGAGTCAGGAATGACATTAAGTAACACTATGGGTGTGTAGTCATCTATGTGTTTATCACCGGCTTGCTTAATGTTCTGAATAAGCTTGTTAAACACATCTAGGTTCTCATCTATGTCTTTGGTCAGGTCAAGCCTAAATCTAAAGAACTTCTCAAGCAAAAACAATTTACCAGGCAAAGAAGTATCGGTATACAACTTATCTAACTTGTCCCAGAACTCCTTTGCAGAATCTATAATACCCACCTTCCTGAGCACGGAATCAGAAAGGTTTAGGTATATAGAGGAACAAGCGGTTTCATTCATTTCAACGCGCTTTGCAGCATCCTCAGAGTCTAAATAGAGACCAGTCACAGCTCTATAGACTTTCTGTTGGATCAACACGCATTTGATTTTCTGTTTCCAGATATCAAAACTGTCTTTCCGTTAAATGGAAGCATGCCATATTGATTGACAGCCATTTTAACAGGAAAAGCAAGCACAACACGCAAGAGAGTAAATAAAATTTATCAGGCTACGCACAGTACGAAACAACTAGCACGAACAAGCCGAGAAGACCAATGAACACAAAGCTCGGGTATAGTCTCCTTGTTCTTTCGTACAAGCACATATAAATTACTATTTACTCAACAGATAGATAAGTGATTAATTATAACCTATAGGGCTATGAATTGTACGAAGCAACTAGCACGAACAAGCCGAGAAGACCAATGAGCACAAAACTCGGGTACAATCTCCTTGTTCTTTCATACAAGCACAAATAGGCTAGAATTAAATCAACAAGCAATGAAACGGGATTTAAAATTAATCCAGACAGAAATATTCCTAACTTCGGACAACAAGTATCCAAACAAATATTCTTGACCGGAAAGTTTATCCACGATTCAATCAACAGAAAAAAATCAAAAGCAAAAAATCCAACACGTGATTAAATTTAATCCGGAAAAAATATTCACAACTTTGGACAACGAGTATCCAAACAAAATATTCTTCACCGGAAAATTAATTCACGATTCCACAACAAGAAATCACAATTCAACTTGAAATTAAAATGAATGAACTACGAATAAATAATCACACAAAGGATTAGTAAACGCACCTAGGGCCGGGCACAGCCGTCATCCAAGACCACGCAAGTCAGCAGCGGGGAGCGGGGGAAAAAATAAATCTGGTGGCACTCCGGTACACCAAGGATGTTTATCGCCAATTTACCTGAGCGGGGCCCGAGGTTGGGTTACCCGACTTACCGTAGGCAGCGTGGGCTGCTGTAGAGCGTGGCGGCAGCAGGTCTGGACCAGTGATGGCAGCAGCTTCTGGACAGCAGCGGAGGGCGTCGATGCGGCGGCAGGCGGCGGCAGGACCTCCGTGGCTCTGATACCACTGTAAGTTCAACTTCCAGCTCATGTCTCGTCCAAGTTTCACCCACAAAGGATGAAGAACACCACTAAAATCACTAAGGGGAAAGAGAGGCGTCAGCCAGCAGGCTATTTCCGGCCAAATCAATCGAGCACCCACAGAGAGGCGAAAATAAGAGAAGCAAGGGTTTCGGCCAGCCTTTAATCCATCGACAAAGAGAAGTATAAATAGGCGTACCAAAGAGACAGATATGGTAACTTACCTTCAATGGAATAACGATTGAATCGCACAGGAGTAGAGAAGGAAAGAATCGCACGGATAAAGGAGAAGGATTAACGACCGGGTAACACTGAGAGAAGGGGCCGGGTAAGTTGAAGTGGGCTTAAAGGAAAAACCGGGCCAATACCTACATTCAGTTTAAAAATGAAGGAAAGATAGTCGATGACCTGTGCTCTCTGCTCTGAAATAAGTATACAAAAACGAAGAACGAAGACCTTCGAAATTAAAATAAACTAGCCGCCGATACCTGAACGATGACCTGTGCTCTGGAGAAGCCGGCGAACGAAGGAACGATGACCGCTGCAGGGGACGACCTCTGGAGAAGCTGGCGACCGCTGCTGAAGCCTGGGACGATGACTGTTGTGCGTAGGCCGTAGGGTTGAAGAGCGAAGAGCCGAATATGAAAGAAAGGTTTGATTTCTGTTTGAACGTCGGCCCTATTTTAATCGGAACTATGTTTTAAGTTTGGAAACGCATTTCCAAACTTCCCAAAATTAAGAAACGACCCAGGATACGCGTTTTCGGCGTTTCCTACACTCGGAAACGTTCGAACGTTTCCGAAACACAAAAACTCCCAGGCCCAGACGTTTCCGTGCTTTTCAGGTTAGCTTACCAAGACTAGAATTAATGAAGTCCTAAAAGCAGTATGTAACATATTAATATAAGTAATAAACTTGCTAAGGAAACCAAATACCCCTTAATAATCTTTAATCATTATTGTTGAAGTATTTGTCCTACATAGAATTGGTATTAAATAACAAATCATTGTATTGAATGATCTCGGGTCTTCGTATGATATTTTCATTACCAGAGTAAATATTTCAATTTGGACTTGTAGACTTCTTAATAATATTAATGCATGATCCATGATGAATCCATCTTTTTAATACTCCGTAATAAAATACTAGCCAAATCAGACAGCTCAGCCCCGTAAAAATTTAGAAATCTGCTAAATTGATGGTACGAAATAGTTTTTTTATATTTTTAAAATATAAAAAATCGTTAAAATGCTATGGAGTAATTGTCTCGTTTTTTAGTGTAATACATATGGAGTTGCAGATGAGTTTTTTACATTCAAAAAAATTTGACATGATTCCATCAATCATCTGATCACTAATTTGACCAGTCTTGCAATTTGAGAGACTAAGTTGTCAACATTATTAATAAGTAGGTCTTAATTGACTATAAATTCAAGGGAACTTTTTATGCCACCTCCCTATGGTTGCGGACATGCAGGATCAAAATGGAATTTCCTCCTCTTGTGTGGCATTCTTGATACAGCTTATAAACCATTTCTTTTTTGGTTGGTTGATTTCATCAAACAGAATAAAGTGCAGAAAGGAAGGAGGAGTGAGGTTCTCCATAACAGGTGCTGGGATCTCTCTGACAGTGTTAATAAGCAACGTTGCTGGTGCGGGGGATATAGTGACGGTGAAGATTAAGGGTCCAAGAACTGGATGGCTGCCTATGGGCAGAAACTGGGGACAAAATTGGCACATAAATGCTGACTTGAGGAAGCAGCCTCTTTCATTTGAGTTGACCACTAGTGATCGGGTCATCCTTGCTTCTTACAGTGTTGCTCCCAAGAACTGGACCTTTGGGCAGACCTTCGAAGGTAAGCAGTTCGAACTTTGAAGCTTAATTAAGACGTGGCGTGGCAATGAAGGATTCAAATATAAGTCTGTTAAAAATGCCACTGTTTTGTGTGTTCATGTTTATGTGTGTGGCTAATTGTAATTACAAATTCCAAACTTTGCTTAGTATATGAATTCTTCCACACTGTCAACATTTCTAAATCTTACAATATTTCGGATCTATCATAGTAGACTAAGCTTTAAACTATATAACCTCTTTGAGATACTGAAGATATTACACACATATCTTAATACAATTTCACTCAGAAACTTGACACTATTAACATCCTTATGTCCATATCCATTGATGAGCTCCAACAAGTCAAACCTTAAACTTGGTGAATCGGCCACAATTCTTGTTCACATAGGTAGGTCTTTTCAAATTGTGTCCTGCAATCAAACACTTTATCAAAAGATCTATTAAGACATAGTCAACCTCATTACACATTGCAAACTCAAGCACTTACCTCGGGATAGTTTTTATTCAAAAGTGCTTCAACCACGGAGTAACTTACTCATCATCATTGAACTCAAGATCTAGCGTTGTACTAAATGTTGAGTTGAGCTTTCTTTCACTTGTTATTATTTTCTAAGGGCTTTAATCCCATCCCTTTTGCAGTTTTGTACACCATGTCCCTTGGCATCACCTTTGTAAAAGAACCCGCCAAATTCACATGTGATCGTACAAAATCAATCACCACAACTTCAAAACTAATAAGTTCCCACACATAGATGTGTCTCACTCCTATGTGCCTTGACTTACCATTGTACACATGGTTATAAGCTTTTGATAGAGTTGATACACTATCACAATGGATTGATATCAAAACCATAGGTTAAGGACATATCATGATCTCTGAAACTAGGTCCTTTAGCCATTCCGCTTCTTTACAAGATGATGCTAAAACTATAAACTCCGAAGACATGGTAGAGTCAGTGATACAAGTTTGTTTCTTAGTTGCCCATGAAATAGCACCTCCTCCAAGAAGGAATAACCACCCACTTGTGGATGAATAATCTTCTTGAGGCGAGTGCTCAATGCTTGCAATTGAAATATACTAGGGTTACTATTATATCTACTTAGCTTTCTTACCTCAAATGCAATATCTGGTCGGGTGCTAGTCATTGCATACATCAAACACTTAATTACCCTAGCATATTCAAGTTGTGATACAACGTTTCTACTATTTGGAATTAATTTCCAACTAGGATCCATAGGAGTGGAAACTAGTGAGCAATCCAAACTCCCAAATCTTTTCAACACTTTCTTTATATAATGAGATTGTGTTAAGGTGATAGTATCACCTTGCTTAATTATCCTAATTCCAAGAATAACGTAGCTCTGCTTCACCCATTTAAAAATGCAGTTTTGACATCTATTTGGTGAATCACAAGATTGTGAATGGCCGATAAAGCAATTAACAATCTTATGGTAATTACTCTAGCTAACGGTGCATATGTGTCAAAGTCATCGATACCATGTTTTTGTTTAAAGCCTTATCAACAAATCTAGCTTTAAATTTATTAATGGTACCGTCTACTTTCATTTTGTTCTTGAAAATCCATTTGAAACTGATTGGTGTGCAACTGGGTGGTAAATCACTTAGAACCCAAGTATTATTGCCCATGATTGAATCCATTTCATCATTCATGGTCTCTTTCCAGAAGGAAGTGTCTTGTGATTTCATTGCTTCCTCAAAAGAGTTAGGATCCTCCTCAACACTATAACAATATAATGTTTGAGTTACGAGGGTCTCTCTTGATCCCTCAACCAAATATAATTGAAAATCGGGACCAAATGACTTTTCCTTTCTAGCCCTCTTATTCTGTCTTATTTCAGGCTCATTATCATGATCCTATTCCAGTTCATGTAAGTTTGAATTACTTGGACTGGGATTGATAAGCTCGTACTTCGATACACATTTGATGCTTGTTGAGATCGACTTTTGATGGTTTTCCTAGCTTAAAGGTGTCACAAGTCTCATAATTAGCTCAAGTCATATTTTACCAGATATTGGTTCGTGTTTGGTATTTTTAGAGTCAAAAGCAGGGAATTAAGCCCGACACTGGCATTTGAGAAGTAATCGAGAGAGTTGAGATGCATTTGAGATTATTGAGAAGCATTGAAGGTAGGGATGGACTCGGTTCGGGCCGGGCCCAGTTCGGGCCTTGAACCGGCCGGGCCTCGGTTCAAGATATGGGAGGCCCGGAACCGGCCCGGGCCTCGGTTCCATTTTTTTCTTTTTGGCTTTTCCTAGTTAACCCCCAACCCTCCCCCTCACCCCCAAACCAACCCTAACCACCTCAAATGGCCCAAAATACCCAGCCCAACCCAAAATACCTTTTGAAGGGCCCGAACCGAGATCCCACCAGGCCGGGTGGCCCGAACCGGCCAACCAACCGGTGCACCGGGCCGGTCCGGGCCCGCACAGTAGCGGGCCGGTCCAGTTCCGGGCCGGGTTGCCCGGCCCGAGTCCACCCCTAATTGAAGGACCATGATTCATTAAACGAGTGATTTTGAAGTCAGAGAGCTCAAGGTTCAATTACGAGATCAAACGAGAACGAATAAAGCTTAAAAAACGGCGATCACGATGACGTTCTGTCAATCATTCGAGCGTATCATGATGTAAAACATCCAAAGTGCACGATTCAAGTTCCATATGAAAGCTAACTTCAAGGGCTACAAATCATATGAAGACACCATGACGAGAATCAGAGAGGAGCAAGGTGAAAACATATGAAAACGTCAGATAGTCGCTGTTGAGATGTCAGGATGCGACCTTCCACCATTTTATTCATATCGTTTGATGGGATGATGCAAATTACATTTTTCAAGTTGTTATGGATATAAGACTTCATTAGATACAACTTTGGTGAAGGAAGCATAGTCAAATTAGGAAAGGAAAGGTGCACGCCGTGCACCCGAAGTAAGCATGTCGTGCACGGAAGAGAGAAATCACGCTGGAGCTACTACCGGTCGGGCACGCCGTGCCCGACATTTTTCAGCCCCCAAGTGTCCTATTTCGCCCCGGATTGATCTTTTTTCTATTTAAACACCCTGTAAACCACTTTTTTTGAAGACAGAGCTTAGATAGAGACATAGGGACGTGTTTTAATATATTTTTCTGCATTATTCTTCAAAACCATGTGATTATTTGTAAGTTCCAACTTTTTAGTTAATAGAAATTAATTCTTTTCATCCCAATTCTATTGTTGATTTAATTATGAGTTGTGAGTAGTTTTACTTAGGGATTTGGGATTGATGAAGGGGTTGGTCATGGTGTATGGCTAGTTTGTTGATGATTTAATTGTATGAATCTTTACTGAATTTGTGTTTGAATGATTCAATTGATATATCTTGTAATCTAGAACGGAAGCTAGGATTATAATTGCATATAGAGTAGATTTAGAGAGATCTAATTTATTCTAGGACACCTTCACACACTTAATCGTTCACTAAGAGATTAGTAACGGTTAGGGGGTCATACGCTCGCTCGTTTTGGCAATAATTTAGATACCTGTGATAGAGAATTAATCGTTATATATAACCAAGATCAAATAAAATCACACAATTAGTCATAATTGTAAATTTATAGAGACTTACTTGGAGAGTATCCGATGTTCATTTTGAAGAGATTTGAGGAAGATGATGCCATTGCTCTAAGAAATTGGATATGTAATCCCTTTTAGGACAATGATATATGGAGTATGTAATAGTAGGGAGTTTGTGATGTCCTCTCTTCTCTTGTGATGGTGTTGTACGTATGACACATTTGAGAAGGGAGATGAGTAGTTTTATTAGAAATAATCAATAGTCACAATCTTTTACTTTTTGTCTTAAAGGGTGTTACAACAATGGTAGCACAAGTATGATTTCCATCAAATAACACACACATATATAATACATTATTATATATAATACATAAATATAGAACACATATTAATATTGGTCCTTAGGCCATATTAATTGGAAATATTCCAACATTCTCCCACTTGGCCTAGTGACCAATAATTGTTAAGTTGGTCAAGTATGTGTTCTAAATACCCAATATCTACACCATAATAGAGAAGTACAATCACACGCATTTGTATAAATATGGGACCCCCACTAATCATACTATAGCACATGTATTAGGACTTTGGGGACGTTTGTTTTTCGACGGTTCAGGGCCAAAACGCTGGAAATACCAGCGTTTTCCATTGTTGGAAAACGGCGGATTGCTCTAATCCGCTAATATTCAAACGGCCCTTTTAAGGTCATTAAACATAAACGATCAAATGTAATGTGGTAATTAATATTAATTTGTCTATGATACCAAAGTTAGTTTGCACGGTATACATGTGATAGACAATTAAATATTCAAGTAAATCCTTATATACATCAATTGTTCAAAAGAGCACTATGATATCAAGTAAAATCTCGACTAATACCCATTCTCATCACATGTTCTTGAAAAAAATTGGATGGTAAACCTTTTGTCATCGGATCCACATGCATATCATGATCGCTAATGTACTCAATAGAAAGATTATTTTCTTCAACTCGTTCTCGTACAAACAAGAACATTGTATCGAGATATAATCCAGCCTCGCTCGAACTGTTGCCATTTGAAAAGCTTACGGTGGCGGAATTATCACAGTAAATCTTCAACGGTCTTGAAATGGAGTGAACTATTTTGAGTCCCTTGATCAAATTACTCAATAACATTTCATGACATATTGTGTTATAAACACCAACATATTCAGCCATCATAGTAGAGGTAGTGGTCAATTGTTGTTTATGACTCCTCCATGAAGTGGGCCCGCCTGCCATCATAAAAATGTATCACGACGTCGATTTTCTATCGTCTTTGCAATTAGCGAAATCGGGGTCGGAATATCCTTTTTTTACTCCAGGGGGCTTGGAGTAATCAGGGCTTAAACTCACTCCATTGAGTTTCAAACCCTTGTGTGCCTAACGGGATTCGAACTCGAGACCTCCCACTAGGCACTGTAACCTCACAACCAGCTGGGCTGAAATGCTTAGTTTTTCGGGGTCGGAATATCATGTTACTTCTAAATCGTTTGTTGCTCTATAGGTCAGTTTGCAGTCTTTAGTCCCCTGAAGATATCGTAAGATCTTCTTAGCAGCCTTCCAATGATCAAGGCCAGGATTATGTTGATATCGGCCTAACATACCGGATATGTAAGCGATATCGGGACGGGTACAAACTTGAGTCCAGATGAGTCCTACCGAATATG